AGTAGTGTGGGAATAGGGGCATGTTCCGCCATAACCCTCAGGTTATGAGGAAGAGAGGAAGGCTAGAGAGGGTCCCCTTAGCCTCCTAGAGGGGAGGACTTCATAGCCTTAGTAATAGGAGCTTGCCTTAGCCAGAGAGAGACTGAGGAAGGGAGAATGAGAAGGACTTGGAGAAGAAGGATGCCATAGCCACAAGTGTGCAAAGGAAGAGGAAGCTTCATCAAGGTTGACATCTAAAAACCAAGGCATTAGAGGAGGGGACGAACGGTGAAAGAACTTTGATCTCACTTGGTGGAAAGAGAGGGCAAAGGGAGGGCTGCCGGTCCCTTGCGCCACCAAGAAGAAAAACTGTTTTTAGGGTTGGAAGGACTTGTGAGTGCAAAGGACTTGAGAATTCGAAGGACTTGAGGATTGATTAGTCCTCAGGATTGAAGGGAATTGTTGAGTGAAAGAGAGGTCAGTGGACTCGACCACCACCCCGACTGCATGAGAGAATGAGAAGAGGATGGCCTGGACAAGGAAAGGATTGGAAACGGAAGGAACCGGAAAAAGAAAGAGAATAAACATGCGGGAGGGATTATGTGTTGACCCCGAATGGGGGTTGTGTTTGATCCCATATTGCCTTGAGTGTGCAGGTGAGTAACCAGCTAGGGTGACTTTAGTGGGATTGTGCCCGGTTAGACCGGGTGGAGAAAGGGTAAGACGCAAAATGGGTTGTGAACGTAACCCTCGCCCATGAATGAGCCCTATTTGTATGGTGCTCCTTCTGGCAAGAAAATGAGGTGATGTTGGCGGGAAAGTGCCGGATGATGGAGAGGACCATTGAATCGCATGAGTATGTGGGCGGGGCCCCAAAAAGACTAAGGGGTATATAGACAAGCAACGGAGTACAATGCATGAAGTGTGTTTGGCGCATAAGTTGTGAGAATCAAGCACGTAAATCGGCTAGAGGCCGGAGCAGGGGGCGCCCTAGTGAGGCGACAAGGGCCGCATGACTTAGTCAGTCGGCCCAAGCCGAAGGGCGAGCTCTTCGGTTCGTCAATGCCGCTAGACTCTGCACCTAGGAGAATGAACTGCTTGGACTGCATGAGTACCAGAAGGAGCAATTGCGTGTGAACACGAGAGCATCGAGAATAAACGCTTGTCAAAGATCAGCGAAAACTACCTACCTAGCGAGAAGGCTGAGCTACATTCCGCAATGTCGAAGCTCTCTCGCTGGCTGACCCACCCCCATCCATCTCATAGCACTAGGCGGGGGTGTCCCTAAGACGAACGCTCAGCGCCTTGGGTATGCGCGTGGACGGAGAAGAGCCAACTGGGACCCGGAATCGGGTCGACTCAGGCTCAAAAATCTAACAGGGCGGGGCCCTGCACCGGTCGGCCCTGCTGGTAGACTGCAAAACGATTGGCAGCCGAGGTTGGCGTTCAGCAAGTATGCAACCCTGAAGAAAGCCAGTAAAAACACCATAACCCCCAAATATTTCTCCTCGCTAACCCCATAACCCCTCTAACACCCCCAGCCCCCGTGCAAACACCCCCATACCCCCCACTATCCCCCCCCACAGCCCCCCCACGGCCCCCTGACTCCCAAGAACTTTCTCAGTGGAGTTGGGCTGCACTCAGCAAACGCAGTACAGCCGTGAGCTCAGATTAAAAAGAAAAACAGTGGATGGCTCTCTGTTGACTGGTTGGCAGACCACCGACCGGTCGGCCCTACCAGTAGGCTGCGAAACGGTCGGCCGTCGGGCTAGGTGGTGGGCTGGGATGCATCCCTGATATATGGGATATTCATGCGTGTCGTTTTCTGAGGGCTAAAGGAGGGAATGACTGGAATTGTAGCTGATGACATGGCAAAGCATGAGGTGTTGGGCTTATTTATTGGGTGTTAGAAGCAGATCTGAAACATTAAAAATGTTTGCATGGAGCTTTGAAGAATTGCATGTAATAGTGGGCGAGTACAGAGTTGCAAGCGGCTGGCAGACTGCAGGTGCAGGATGGGAGTCTACCCGTCCAGGACACGATGAACGTCATAGTGTGTGTCTGCGTACTGATGTGAAGTTTCCCGGTCACTATGAGGGCGCGCCGTGGGAAGGGGGAGTGGAGCCCCCGTGGCAGATGACTCGGGCCGCTGGGGAAGACTGTAGCTTTAACTCTCTGCTTTCTCTCTGAAAACTCATGCTTGCCAGTAAGAAGTAACCGGACTGCCGCCCGCCAGAATAGAAGGGGCTTGTGATAGGGGGGGAAAAAAAGCCGAAATGCATGTAATAGGATGTGCGACCAAGATCTCTAAGGGCGTACACACTCTAGGACGGTTTTGAACGGACGGATGCCCAGGCAAAGTTTTTAGTCTCCTTGAATTCAGGAAAGCCTTGGGCAGGCCCGGTAGAGGCTTGGTCAAGCTTCAGCACAGCGCGGGTGGTCGTTCGTTTTGAAAACGGAATGAGTGACCAGAGGAAAAAGAAAAAGGAGAGAGAAACGAATAAGCAAAAAAAAAAACGACAGACCTTTTCCACTCAAAACGGTGCAACTGGCTGTCAGAGCGGCACAGGCAGCAGGCTTCGAAAGAACTGGGGCCTCGCTCCACGTCCAGGAATGGTGCCAAATGAGAATGAATCTTCCTACAACGGAAAGATACAGAGAAGAGTAGCATGGTCCTGCACATGGCCGTGCTACTCTTCTCTGTATCTTTCCGTGGCCCGGCGGAAGATTCATTCTCATTTTGCACCATTCGTGGAAGTGGAGCGAGGCTCCAGTTCTTTTGAAGCCGGCTGCCTGCTCCACTCTGAGAGCCAGTTGCGCTGTTTTGAGCGGAAAAGTCCTGTTGTTGTTTTTTTTGCTGCTTCGGTTTTTTCTCTTGTGTGTGCATCCACGAATGTATCCATGTACAATGCATTCCCGATATGTGTATCGATAACGAGTAGTTGAGGACACTACCATAGTCCAGAAAACAAAGGTGGAAGTACTGAGAATGGATCTAGCATTAGAACATGAAACCATACAGAGAAGTTTAGCATGGCCCTGTGTACAGATGACACACATAAATCGGAAAATGCCAAAACAGCTGAGTGGGGATCCGGGCCGCCCCCGGGTGACCGGCAGGGGCCCGGGGGAGGTCCCGGGTGGCCTGGCTGGGCAGGGCACGCGGTTTGGGGCCGGGCCCCCCCAGCGCACTCACCTGTCGGGGGATTTCGGACCCCCTTTGTGTGTGTGTGTGTGTGTGTGTGTGTGTGTGTGTGTGTGTGT